ATTCTGTATATGGGATGATCATGACAAATCCAAACACTCAGAGATTACTACAGACTGTATTGCAAAAAAACGCAAGCCCAGATCTTCTATTTGTATGCACCATAGATCTGTTGATAGGAAATAGGACTGGTTTTGGGAGACTGTGAGAGTAAGGTTTGTACTGGTGCAGGGTTTTATTCTGGTTATGGGGTCATCTTAGGAGCAGTTGACACTGCAGCTTTCCAATATATTTTTTTCTAATATAGCATAAGCTGTTGCCAGAATGGATTGCAATTTTTTCTTGCCTCACTTTGAGTGACAGCAAGAACATTGGACTGCCTGACAGCACTTGACCGCAGTCTTAGTTTTAAATAGATTGTATGCATATAAATAGAACATGGTGGTGCTTGATCCCTGTTTGGAAGCTGTAGTTAGTTATTATACACTGTACACAAGGAGAAGGGAATTTTAAGCATCCCAAAATAGATATTTTAATACAAAAGCAAAATTTAGTTAGACTTTTTTTAAATGCAGACATCAGATGGAACAAATGTTACCCAGGATGTTTTAATAGCTAGTGTCTTTATACTAGAATAATAGATCTCTAGAAATAATGGTTTGAGGTTTTCTGATCTGACTTATGTTTTCTGGATTTAGACAAAATAGCCAGTTGCGGTTTTGGTACTTTTTTTCCTCTCTTGAAGAAGACATGGCTGCTTACAACCAAAAGCACTTTTATTTTTTATTTTCCTTTGAGAAGAATCTGGAGGAAGCATTTTCCTAAACCATGATCTAGAAAGCAGAGTTCATCTGGTACCTACTAAATGTGGAGGATAAAGTGGAAAAGTGCTGATTTTTGGAGACCTGACAGAAAAAACAGTAAAATAGGAGAGTTTGTGAGCCTATGGTTGCTTAGGTGAATTAACTTTTTAAAACATATATTGAAAGTCATGGTTTTCATAGTTTTGATTTTCTTAACTTGTACATAAAAGGTATGGTGTCTTTAGCTCAGTTTCACCTGTTTGGCTTGTAGTAACCCAATTCCAGCATAGCAGTGAATTGGTTTACTTCGATCTTCTTTTTTCCTTAACATTCTTTTCCCCCCAAAGTATTTTTTTTCTCTTCTTTCCCCTTGTCCCAGTTGTTATATTGTGCTCCCAGCTGAGTTTACTTTTTCCTGCTAGGCCTCTGAGCTTCAGAATTTTGATTCCTGCATGAGCATAATTTGGGAGTTGTCAGAAAAGATGAATGAATTCTGAAAATGCTGTGGATTTTGTTTCCTTTTGTTTTTGAAAGTGGCACAAATTACACGATGCAGAAGAAACCTCTGTCCTTGATGCCAGTGTTCCAGATATTTTTCCCATTTTATAATGGTGTCTGTATAATAGTCCGTATATTTTTATTCTAAAAATACAAGGTATGACTAGAAAGTAAAAAGCAAACTGCAAGGCAAATGAAAAGTACTCATTAAAAGCCTAAAAGCAATGATCTCCATGTATGTTTGCAGTGAAATATTGATGAAGGGCACTGTGGTGTTTTGTGGGACATACAGCTGAGGCACTTCTTGGTTAAGAAAACTTGCACTGGTGTAGCTGGTATTAGTGGTTTCCACCACATAAATGGTCAGAACTTCAGGGCCCTGACCCCTTATTATCATTTCATAATCAGTAATTTGGGGTTGCTGGAATTGGTTATATAGAAGCAGCTGAAGGAATAGAGGGGAGTGGCAGAAGTGTATTGTGACCATGCTGAGTTGTGAAAGAAACGTAGTGCTTGTAGTTTCTTTTTTTTATTTAAACAGCCTCTATTGAATATGACAGAGAGTACCCCAAGCCAAAAGTAATGTCTCATGTCCTTTCAACTTTAGATATTGACTGTATTTTATGGTACCTAGTACAAGAAATGACAGTCAGGTGGAAAATGAATTAATGAGAGCAACAGCAGCATTTTAACTGGTGAGTTCACAACTTTTTGATAGTCCATTTGTTTCGGGTGGCAGTTTTTGAGGTGACCTCATTTGTATTTGTTAGATCAAACCCTTATTATTGTCATTACTGCTACTTCTGTCAGGGACTGCTGTTTTTCCTTGTCTGTTAATACATGAGCTGCCAAGCAAGTAAAATAGAACCTGCAGCTTTGTTTAAATGACAGCTGCTCAAACAGAAAATGTTTTGCCACTTCTTCAGTATTTGTTTTCTGGTTGCAGATCTGTTGATGCACTCAAGCCATGGGCCATCATTATTTTCTTGTTTTGTTGCTTCCTTTAAAGTATCATTAATTTACTAATGAACTCTTAGCAGAAGGCAGTTCAATGGCTTAAGCAGGTTCTTTCAACTGCATTTTCTCCTTGAAGGAGAGCATTAAATGAAAATCAGATTTGCTTTCTTTATGTGTTCGCTTGTGCCTCATGCCTCAGTAAACAGAGAAATACCCTTATACAGCTTGTATAATTTTGCTGTGCCGTGTTTTGGAGTCAGCTGCTGTTCAATTAATCGTGCACTTCTGTTCATGCTCTGACAGGCTGGGGAAATGCATTGTCTTCAGAAGAGCTGCACAGCTTTAGCTGGTAGGCTACAGCTCAGTAAAAAATGTGGTATTTCCCAAGACAGGAAAGAGCATTTCCAGCTCATCATTTTTAGCTCTGTGGGATTAAGTTGGCTAAAATGCATTAAAATATTGTCATTCGAGTAAACGGGCTTCTTAAAAATGATAGTAAACAAATCTGTTGAGTAGGATGTTGACATATTCCTAGCTTGTAGAGTTGTTAAGTTGCTCTCATGTTAACATTTAAAACCACAACTACTGCAGAATAATATGAGAAAATAATATAACTTTATGAGAAAACAATAGCAAGATAAAGTGTGTAACTGAAAGTATGATAAACTGTTAGACAAATTAGTATGGGAGGTAAGGAATAAACTGCTCAAATACTCCTATGGAGTCCTACACGTGTCTGTAGGAGTGAAACTTTTCCTCAGGTCCCTGTGTAATAGAATTTGCTGGTGTTTCACAGCTGGAAGAAACAAGTGTGATGAGATCAAGTGATTTACCCAGGACTCTGAAACAGGTCAGTAGAGTATAAAGGTTACAGTTCAATAGTCTTTTTACTCTGAGCCCCATGTATATTTACAGCCACGTTACTTAAGGTTGAAAAAATGCTCTTAGCAAGTTCATGCACTTAGTGTGACTTATTCCCTTCATATCTAATCTCTCTATTTTCAGTGACAGGACCCAGTGACCCCTTCTTGACTAGTGTTCTGTTGTAATGTCCTGCTTTAAGTAATAAAAAACTTTTCTTTCATATCTAATCTGCCCTCTCCTTTTGTAAATGCATTACTTCTTGTTGTGCATGCTTTTCAGTCTTTATGTTCTCCTCACATATATTGTTTCTATATTAGTGAAATCTGCAGTGTGTTGGCTATTTGTGGCTCTTAAGATTTTTGAGGATGGGAGTTGAGCAAAGTTAAAGAATACAAATGAACCTTTCTTTTTTTTTTTAACCATACACAGTTCCCTTCCCAAAGGTTTCTTTCTTAAAGTAATGTGACAAGATTCAATCACTGACTTGCTTTCTACTGGTGTAAACATACTTATTTCCTTTTTCCTTCCTTGGAGTGCTTCATGGCTCCCCCCTTGGATGCACAGTCAATAAGTAACGTTGTCCATGAGTTAAAATGAGAAACGTTTTACAGAGCTTAGTGCTTCTATTAGTGTTCCTGCTGGACTAGTCTCAAACATACATAATTTGAGGAATGATTGAACAGAAATTGATAAAACATTGTTTTTAAAGAAAAGTCAGTATTGTTTATGTTTCCCTGGAATGTGTGATTTGGACAATCAATCATCAGTGCACGGATTGTCTAGCAACAGGATTCCTCTTCCAAAAACTAGTTCAGATGTTCCATGGTCATATTCCTTACAGTTTATTTAAAAACAATCCACCCACCTCATGATAGAACATTAAAAAAACTTGTAGGTTGAGAATAAAAGTTTCAAATTTGAAAATTCATAAGCAGTTAGAGTAAGTATTTAGAATGGAAGGATTACATACTCTGTTCCCTGCTGCCTTACCAAGGTATGGTTCAGCTGGTGAACAAGCAAGGAAAAGGGGAACTGATATTGATGGCGGTGTGGGGAGAAGGTACCTTATGGAGCAGCAAGAAGAATGTCTATTTTTCTCTTTATTTCCTCCCATGGGAGCGTAAGAATTATCTTGAATAATTCACTGGCAAGTCACAGAAAATAGTGTTGATCCAGAGTGTTTGCTGTGTGAGGCTTACAAAAGTTATAAATTCAATTCCCTTTCCTGTTTTCTAAGGATTTGTATATTGCATAGGACCATTCTGATGTGACACTTGTTGGAACTAGGTGGGTTTGTTTGTAAGTTTGGGCTAAATGGGGAATAGTTAGAAGTTCTTGTAGTTTGAGTAAATGATTGTTTACTTTTAGGAAAAATCAAAATCTTCGCTTTTCAGAATGCATGATGTCTTTTTCCTTAAAATAATATGGCAAAGTGAGTTGCTGCTCTATGTTACTTACTATGTCTTGATTTTCGCTTACTTCCATTGGTAGAGTAACCTAAAAAAAAGCTTTACTTGCCCATGTTTTAACATTACCCAAATATTCATGAAGTTAATCAGGGATTAATGCTATTTTTGCTTCGTTTCTTCAATTGAAAGTGACTACTACAACCTAAAGATTATGACCTGTTAGAACCCCAGGGCTGTTACAACTTCAGATAGTTGGGCTGACCCGCACTGTGCAGACTGCAGTGGCTGGGGATGTGCAATGTGTGTATAATGAGAAGATGCTCCGTGGACTGTGTGGCTTGCAGTGTTACACAGTCTCAATGAAAAAGGTGATCTGAATCTGTGATCCTGTTCGCAGTTCTCTAACTGCAACCAACAGAAGGCAGGAGTAATGTTAATTTTTGTGGCTCCATTGCTTAGCAGTGTTGATCAACAAAAATACAACCTTTTCTTTTTCCTGTAACCTTGGTGAACCTGGCCTTGGACAGAGCTCACCAGCAAGGTTCTGAAGTCGTGTGAAACTGTTGCTCGGTGTCTGTTAGCAGCATCTGAGGGAAACCGTCTCTTCTTGACCTCTTTGTTACCTTTGCCCTTTAGTCTTCCTTCTCTTTCTCATCAAATCTTAGAATAAAGCAGACAGCATCCTAGGAAGATGTGGAGGATGAGAAGTTTGGAGACAAGTCAACCATGCTAAGATGTATCCTGCTGTTTTTCGGCAAAAAGAGCTGAGCTGGTTCCCAGACTATGGTGTCAGACCCTCCTCTCATGGAAGGAGAAACAGACTTCAACTATCACAGTAAGGTTTACTCTTATTTAGAGAAGCTTTGCAAGTATTTTGGAGTAGGCAAAATAATCCATAGAGGAAAGGGAAATTAGGGTGCTAAGAATTTGCTGGTTTACATCTTTTAGAAAGGATGTCACAAACTGAATGAGGAGGGTTATTGAATGTGTTTGAAAATGATTAGGAATCTGCACTGAGTGTGTTTTTTGTCTGATAAAAGCTGTCAGAGCCTGTAAAATAAGTGCAAAGAGTAAGTTGCTTGTTTCACCTTAATTTGAAACTGTAAATTGTTAGTCTAACTGGACAAAAGCTCTTTAGTGGCATCACAAGACACATTAATGTGCCTTACAATGTCAGAATCTTAGGAGCTTCTATTGTTACTCTGATGCTTGTCTTTTACTTCCAGATCTGAGTAAGAAACAACTAAGTATTTTGATACTTTTTCTGCCAAGAGTGTTATGATCCTGAGACACCTGTAAGCTTGTGGACATTGTGTAGAAAATAATGCCTTGTCAGTGTGCTGGTTTTCTCCTTTTCCCCGTCACCTCCACTACTGACTTCTCCCCTCTACTTGTTGGTAGCTTTTAAGAGCAGCATGGGTCAACATATTAGAAAGTCAGCATGTGTTTCACAAGCCTGTTATGCTTTGGTGTCCCCTCAGTTTTGAAGTTCAAAGAGAAAGTCCGCTGTTCAGCTATCCCAATCTCATAAAATTCCCAGAGAGGACTAATATTGCCGTAATTGCACAATGGAGATCAGATTCTCATGCCAGAACAGGCAACCCCATAAAAAACGGGTTTCTGTTCTATACATATCATGTCAAAAGTGTGGCAAGTGCATGGTATCTGGCAGAGCTCGATCAAGTAAAATAACCAGCAAATGGGAATGTGAATTACATTGCAAATATTGCTCTCTTTTTTAAATTGCATTAATCTTGACAAAGTGATCTACCTAGAAATCCTGACTGCTGTTTGAGGCTAAGAGGAATGACTTTTCATACCCTTGCTTGCTGAACAGAGCAAATTGTGTTCACCAAAACAGGATTTCTTTATTTTGAGCTGTGAATATGATTTGTCTGTCTTCACTGAACAACAGCTGCTAATATTTGATATCTGCAGGACTCAAAACAAGTAACTGAAGCCATGTTCTTAACTTCTGATTTACAGAAGTAGAGAACTTAGGACAAGAGCTACAGATGAAAAACAATTTCAGTAAAAGTAAAAAAACCCCTTTTGTTGTTTTTAAGTGCTGTGATGCAGCACTTGTTCTTTCTGCATGCAGTGGAAATACAACCTAAACAGATTTGAAAATTAATGCTTCAAACTGTAAGTAAATCATATACTGTTATCCTTTAGTTTTCCTTTTCATTATCCATTAGAATGTGGCATTCTCTTATAAGTGAAGAAGTCTTTACCGTGGGACTCTTTGGTGCTGTCATTTCCACATCTGCAACAACTGGCCAGACCATGCCCACTGTACAGCACTAGGACAACTTTAAAACCACCAAGTGCTTTATTTCTGTACCAGGATTATTTTGGTTTTTGGATTATTATTCAAGTTATTTTGAATTATCATATGTTGATAGTCCTGGTTTCATGTCTTGCAAAATGCACGTGGCTTTCAGTTTAGCTGGAAGCCGCTGCTCCACACACCCATTTCCACCACACACAATTCCTTGCTGTGCACTTTCTTATATTAGAAATGCTACTGACCTTCCATACCCCGAGGTCAGGAAAGGTCAGCATTTGAGCATGTACCTTACACATGATTGAATAAGGGTCCTGGAATACAGGCTGTGGCTGAGTTTTGTCCCATTAGATGAGTCAGTTTTCCATTTTTGGGGTAGTAAATTTCATATGCAATGAGACAGGAAATTTCAGAGGGAAACTGGGATAATTAAAATAATCCTGTTTGGCCCATTGCCAATTCTTTCATCTTTGAAAACATTGCTGTGGAGACACGCACAGATCCCATGAATTAGTCTGGTCTGGATAACTCTCATCTAACATTTTTGAACATTTGAACCTTAGTGAACATCTGAATTGCAAGGACATTTCTGTCGGACAGTTTGAGCGCTTTTGGTTTCATAATTTTTCTTTTTCCTCTGTTGGTTCCTCCTTGAGATTAAGGCTGGACTAAGGGGATCCTCAGGCTAGTGTGGCATTTCCTCATATAGACTGCATGAAAAATCACCCCAGAAGAAGAGATTTTTATGAGAAAGGCTTGTATAAATTAGGAAGAAAAAGAATTTTGCATTGAAAAGCTGAAACATATTTAAATATTGCTTAAGTTGGATAGAATTAAGGCTAGTCTTGTTTTTTAGTTTCTAAACTTAAAAGTCATAACATCTTCTCTCCTCCTGTGCCTAAATCTAGAGAGTTAATAATAAACCACCTTGTTTACACTCCGAGACGTTGGCAGAGAGAGAAACAAATTGCTACCGGTGCCAAAGATAAATCCTGTTATTCTGAAAATTATTCCACAGCCAGCTTCTGGGTAACTTAATTTTCTAGATGGTTCTCGATGAAGCAGTGGTGGAATCAATTGCTCAGGGAGTTTTGCTATGACGACAGCGATGTGAGGGCAGCGAGTGTGACCGGGAGCCCAGCTGGGAGCAGCCGCAGTCCCGTCCATAGGGCTCAGTCCATAGGTCCCCTCAGCAGTACCTGTGGAGAGCCCTTAGATGGTGCTGTATAGCAGCGCTCGGCCCTTCGGCGCGTTGCCTCCGCTGCCTCGGGGATAGCGCTGCCCCGCCTCAGGGTGGGCTGTAGTACACTGGTAAAAGGCCTCCTTAGCCTTTCATCACACCCCCCCCCCCCCCGATCTTGGCCTATGGATGAAATTTCTACTTTTTTTTTTTTTTATGAAGTACTTGAGTTAAAAAAAAACAAAAAACAATCCAAGGTGTTGCAGGAATAAGTTTTAGCAGCAAAAGTGACCAGTGGGACCTATGTGTTCACATTAAGGTGTTCCGCTCAGTCAGAGCTTTCTGCCCAGGAGAGGAAATGCCCCCCTTTGTTTCCTAACACTTACATTCAACCACTAAATAATGTGTTTTCCTGTCCTGTATATCCATGTATCCAAAACCCAGGTCTAAAATTTTACCATAGTTCAGTCTGAAGAACCTGAAAAAGCTGTCTCTGGGCACTGCTAATTAGAATCAGTAAATGAAATCTGTCAGTAGAGACATACAAAATATTAAAATCAAGCATGGATTTCAATAACTGCCATAATTTAATTCTTATAAAACTTGAATCATGCCATACTTTAACATCCATGTCAAATATATTGCTATCTGTCTGTAAAACAAAGTTCTTTTTAAATAATAGTTAAGGAGTTTTTGAGGGCATTTGAGGATCATTGTGATGGAGGAATAGTGTTCACCCTGGGAACTTCCTCACATAAATATGGGTACAGTGTTGTGGCTTTCAGGTTAAATCTTCCATGCCGTGAAACTCACTTTATTTCTGAAGAATTCGAGATGCAGATTTACGAATTTGAGTTGTGCCGTCAATTACAAAGAACTGAAGGAATGGAGTTTCCTCCGGCAGGATGGGTTTCAAGCCACAAAGTAAGTTTTATTTGGAAGCCGTTGGTGAAATTATTAAAGAGAGTTATTAGACAACTCTCAAATACTCATGGTATTTAGACTTTTCTTTTGTAGAGAGGCAGGAGAGAACTGAGATGTTGAAAACAAATTGATCTCTGCCCCTCAGAAAAGAGTTATGTGATTGTTTTTTCCAAGTTTACTGTGTGCTTATGCACATTCCTGTAATTTGTGTTTCCCACCTGTTACTGCAATTTGAGGGGTTTAAGCCTGGGAATATTCTGCCAAAGCAAATGAAATATGCATATGAACTAATTCATGTTTTCAGAATGACTTCATTTAGTCATGACTTTTATTTATTTAGAGAGAGAGAAAGAGCTGGTGTTGTTACAGTCTCTGCTCTATTTTTTTGATCTCTGTAACTTCCTATAACCCAGCTTTTATTTTTTTGACATTTGAAGTGTCCCAGACTGTATCAACTGAGTATCCACTGTGCATTCCCCTCGTCCCAGTAATTGTCATCCTATGGTCTCTGTATGCTGTTATTTTAGGTGTATCCTTTGCCATTATGTAGATTGTTAACATCACCCTGAATTCTGCTGCTGTGGAGGTGGAAACAAGTACTGAGATTTTCTTTCTTGTGTGTTTAGAAACTCTGTAGCTGGAATCACTGTGGCAAGTTTAATGTTACTTGGTGGTGAGTTGTAGCCTAAAGCTAGTGGCTGTAAGTTCTCACCTGTGAAAGGGGAATCTTACAGGTCTGCAACTGAATTTCTGCTGTGGTAAAATCCTTAAGCAGCTGTAGCAATATGTCACGCTGATCTGGCATTTTGCATCCTCAGAGCTCTGCTCAAATATTTGAACTGAGTAAGGCAATCCACTGAGCTCAGAGGTAGGTGAGTGTCACTACAACTTTACAGAAAAAGAAACAGCACCTGGGAGGTTAAAGCAATTTTTTCCTCATCATGCAGCAAGTCAACAGTGGGGCTGGAATTACAGCCCAGGAGGTTCCTGATTCATGCTATACCATGCTGTGGAGAAAGGTCATTTCCCAAAATAGTACAGGTTTGTTATTGATAATAGGGTAACAAAGGACTCTAGATGTATTAATAGATCACTGTATGCTGCCCTTAATAATACATAATTTAGCAACCTTGCAAAATGGACGACATCTTTTTTTTCTGCAGCAATATCACTTTCACAGCAAGTTTTGTCTACTACACTCCAGATAGGTGTTTTTGTTTTGGCTCTTCTAACACAGCTTTATTTAAAGTAAATAGGGACATTTAAAAAGTAGGCATAAATAGCTTCTTGATTAGCAGCCACATGAAGCTGCACATTCAGCTCCCCTTTCAGGTCAGCACAGCTCCTCTCCTGTGATCAGTGCGTGTTCCTGGGCCCACAAGCAGCAGCCAGGGCACACTTCTCTACCACTTGGGAACCACTGAGCAGAGCTCTGTCTGCCCAAGGAGAATGCAGAGGTGATGGAAGATTTTGGTGGCAACATTGTCCCTGTGTTGTGTGAGACACAGCCAGTGCTGTCATATCTGGGCAGTGCAGGAGCTGAGGTGCAAGCATGGGAGCCCACAGAGCTGCCAGATTTGGTGATGGTCTTGGGCCTTCCAGGGAGGAAGACAAACCCAATCCCCACCCAGTGGGACAGGGTAGAAGATGCTGAATACTTGTGAAGGGGTTTTCATTGAAATTTGGTCCCAGCCATTCCTCAAATGACCTTGGGGATAGGATGTTGGTAGTTATTGTTGGCTCTTGTAAATTTTTATCTTAATCTATCTTTTATAAAATGCTGTTGATCCCCTTTGAACTTCTTTACTTCAGCAGTGTACTTACTGAAGGTTTCTGTTTCTTCTCAAAATGAATTGAACTGCTAGGTTATTTAGCAAATTCAAAAGTAGGTAAGCATGAAACAAATTTTTCACTGAACGCCTGGATCTGCATCTGCAATTGAGAGATGAACAAAATGGTATTTTGTCTTAGCCAAATCTGAAGAATTGCAGTGAATGATGGTGAGAAGAACAACATTCACAAAGCAAATAGGTATCAAGTCAATGTACTCAGCCCTATTTTGGTTTGAGTATGAGTGAAGTGTTTCCAAACAGGTAAACAAAAGGGGAAGTAAAGGTGGAAAACAAAATGTATAAGGAAAGTAAAGAAGCAGAGCATGTATAAGATACAGAAATGGCAAGGGTGCTGTTCTCTTTGTTTCTGTGGATATACGTATTTGAATTAAGGAAACAATGGGAGCTTTATGTGCTGCAATTGCTTTTTAATGCATGTTGGTTGAAGTAATTGGATCTGTTGTTGTGGGCATGGGAATGCCAGCTTGGCTGTTACGGTCACTGACTTGTGAACATGACCTTCTGGAGGTCAAAACACTGGAGAGCTTGCTCTGATTCTCAGAGGTACAGTCATAACAGTTATTGCTTTGAAAAAACAATATAGATGTTCCCTGCCTCTATCTAGTTTGTTATTTGTACTGAATTGTGGGATATTTTTTGTGGTTTTGTTGGTGATGGTTTTTTTTGGTTTGGTTTGGTTTTTTGTTTAGTTTGTGGTTTGTTTTTTTTTAACTATTTTCTAGTAGACTCAAAGTTTTTGAGGTTTGTTTCTTGTGGTTGTTTTTTGGTTGTGGTTTTTTTTTTTTTAAATCACGATTGAGTTTTCACAACCAAAGTTGATTGATCAGAGATTGAATTGTATATGTTAGTGTTTGGTGCTTGATCAGACATCCTGCGATCGTTTTTCCCAATGATCAAGTCAGCCAGATATAGTCAAACAGTCCCACATAGGAAAAACTGTGTACTTTCAGGGAGAGAGAGAGAAAAAGAGAAAAAAAAAAATCTCTTGTGGTTGATGCCAAATGATTCATGGCAAATGCTGATGGCTCCATAATTTCAGCATTGAGTATTGAGTACATCTGCTTCCCCTACTAGGGGACTCTAGAGAGACCTGAGTAAAACATCCTACAAAAAAAAGACAAATGATCCCTTTAGAGAGAGACAGTGCATGCTCCTGGGCAGTGCAAAGCCTGAGTTCTTTTGGCAGAAAGGGAGGTTTCAGGGTCTATGTGGTTTGTGTTTTCTGGCATCAGATGGCTTTGTGGTTCCTCTTGTTATGAATCCTTTCCAGGAGTGAGGGAAATAGCTGTCAGTCCTCAACTTTCCTCATCTGTCAAAACATGTAGTACTTTAACACCAAGCATGACATGAATGACATGATTTTGTGGTCCATCACCCAATCTTCTGGACTTGCGGCAAAGCAATCACAGCACTGGTGATTAGATTGCCTACCGTTCCTGGATAGTTAGTTCGCAGGGGGGTAGTTGTACTTCCTCAGAAATTCTTTATTTCTGCCTAAAAACTCACCAAGATACAGCTATCATGATGCCTCTATCAAAGATTGAGTTTGAGCTGATTTGAATGTGTGGGGGTTTTTTCCCAGTCTTGGTGAATAGCCTTCTTGCACCGCACTACTCCTCAAAATGCTGCTCACATTACCAGCTGAAATCTGCCTCTGCTGTAGGGCTGTTTGAGACCTGTGGGTTGGCTTACTCTGTCTAGGTAGTAGTGATGATTTTCTGGAGTTAGGAGGGTTCAGACCTCCTTAAACTGGACTTCTACTTACAACAGATTTGAATATTTTTATGTCTTGCTAGCAAGCCTTATTTTTTTGCTCTGTGGCATGATCGGGGCAGGCAACACGCTGTATATCTGCCTGCACTTGTTTGGAATTGATGTGGTGCCCTGTGTGTTGTCCTCAGATTTACAGCGAAGGTAAAATGAACAACCACTTGTTACCAACTTTTTTTTTTACCCTCCTCAATACGTCAAACTGTTCCGTAGTCCTTCAGAAGCATATTGGGCTACTCAGAACCAGGGAAAACGTGCTAAACAAAACGGTGAGCAGAGTCCTAAATCGATTGTCTCTGGTCCAATTCCTTCGAGGTTCTGCATTTCTGACTTGTTTTTGATAAGGGCTTTTTCACTGCTTTGTGATGGGCAAGAACTACTGGGGATATAAAATGTTTTGTAACTAGAGAAGATACAGGGCTTGAAAAATTAGGAGTCCCAGCTGTTGTGTAAATAACTTTATGGGCATAACTTTTTTTCAAGAGGCTTGTTGGTGGTTAAGTAGTTCAAGGCATTGCTCTTAGTCAGCAAACCTGTTTTCTGTAGCCTGAAACAGATTTAAATCCATTTGGATCCTTCCCGCTTCCCCCCACCTCCCTATTTTTTTTTCCCTTGATATCTGTTGTTTACATGTTTTGGCCTTGCTAAAACTATCCATCTCTCAAGATTTCCTTTTGCTCATACTTTAAGATGCTCATGAAGGTGTATTTCTGCAATCTTTTTGGCAGTGAATTGGACTGTGTGTTGTTCCCCTTTTTCTTATGTCTTTCTGTAGATGGAAAGCTGTTAGAGCTGGTTGGAAATCCATGGCACTTTTAATTACTGAGGGCAAAGTCCCCCTTTTGCAAAGCTCTTCTCTTTCATTTCCTTCCCCTCGGTATCTGCATCACTGTCTTCTGACTTCTGCCTGAGAGGGCAGGCTGCAGCCCTGGCAGTGAGAGGCACCTGACAGATGCAGTCCTCTTCACCAATGGTAGATAAGGGAAGATGCATTTTTCAGCTGCAGTTAGGAAATGATCCACACTATAATCACGACTGTTTCTCTTCAAAAGAAGCTGAACTTCTGTCATGCCTCTGACTGGCTGATGCCACAGTATGGAGTCTTTATTTATAGATGTGTATAAATAAAAGTAAGTCTTTCCCTGCAAACTGTCAAATTGTTTTTCCCAAAAGCTGAAGAAGCTACAGTCCACTGAATCTGGAGGTGATGACTGAGCTTAAGTCTCCAGAAAAGAGCACCTTTGTTTAGAAAGACTTGTTTTAATTCAGCTACTGACATGGGTTGTCTGCAGTTTCTTCCTGCAAGAAAAGAAATACTGTTTTTATTTTTAATGCATTAAAAAAGTCACCACACTATGGTATTTAGTGTGCTTGCATTAATTCATGTTTTGAGTTAAAGAAATCGTGTATAGTTGAAGGGTTGTATGCTATAGTGGAAGCACAGACAAAACAAGATGGCAGGCAGGGGATGAGGATGGATAATTACTTTAAGAAGGTGTTCATCTTCTGACATTTGTGCAAGGAGGAGGGTAGATCATTGGAAGCAGGTGCCCTGAGCAGTTGGTGTAGCTGTTTGCTGTTCACCTTTCTAGGATGTGGGTTTGAATTACAGTGTACTGTTTGATCATTATCAGGAAAAGAAAATCATATTTTGAACTGAAAGTACTTTGAGGTTAACTTCCATGCCTTATAAATTAAGAAAAAACACTTCCTTTACTTCAGGTCCAGCCTGTGAGACATGGAGGATGCAATACCTGTTTCCTAGTTAAGCTGCATTATTCTGTTTTCTGACATGTCTCATGTCCAGAACAACCAGCAGGCCCTGTCAGGACACAGCCATATTGAGCTTGCTGGTGAGAAAGAGTTGGTTTCAGGCCCTCCTACAGGTCTTTGATTAGAGTCTCAAATTCCTGCCTCCCTTTCCTAGAGAGTTTTATTGACAATCTCATATCCTCCTGTTAATGAGCCAAAGACTGGATGGACTCCAGCACATGCTTGATTGTCCATTAGTAAGAGAAACTGTGCTAATTACCAAGAATACCTCAAGATGTATTGCTCTGGCCAGATGATGGTGTGTGGACAGGCTGCTGACTTGGGCTGTCTCTGCCCAGTATCCCTGACTGTCTGCTGGAATTGAAAAGGGTGAGACTTTCTCCTTGTGCTTAGCAAAAGCCTGTGTCTGTGGGTAGGAGGTTTCCCACCTTCCTGGGAGATCTTTCAAAGATCTTTGAAAGAGGTGGCAGGGAATCTTTCCTTAAGGGTAACTTTCTTCATTGGTTGTCCAGTTTATTGCCAGGAAGGCAGGGTAAACAAGGCTATCATCAGAATTCAGGTTGAATGCTTCCTTGGGATGGTGTAAGATTTCAGATTTCACTTGACTGACAATATTAATTGTGCTATTGGGTGTTGCAAGTGCACTTTCCTTTTTTTTTGTTAACAGGAAAAAAGTCTTCAGAAAATCCCCCTCAGAAAGCCTGTGATGAGATGATGTGAAAGACTTGGCAGTCTTACCTTGGAAGCAAGATAATTGATATGAGTTTGTTAGGACATTGCAACTTGTTACAAGTGAGAAACTGGTCACAGCCACAGAATAGAGCAAGAGGAAACAAGGTATGTGCACTTATGCTGCGGTGGAAGTTCTCTGGCTTTTAGTGTTTGCACAGTAAATTCAATGTCAACATACATACAGAGAGCAGATCTCAGAGGAGTTAGACGTAAATAGCCTTTCTTTTTGAGGTTTCTACAAAAAGCTGCAGAGCTAAGGGATTTCTTTTGAGTTTTTGGCCTGTCATGAATTGGCAGAGGACTTGGGAGGAGGTAGTCTCTGGTCATTTGGCAGTGCCGAGAGCAAGCTTTGAACCATGCAAACCTAGGGCAGCTAGGAAACATTCCCACTGGACACTCCAGAGTCCTGGCCTTTTTTTGGCTGCCAGTGACAGTTTTAGGTGATCTTTATTTTCATTTGGTCATTAAAAGTAAAAGTTAGGTGTCTTTGTTGCTCTCTTAGACTAGCCCAGGAAGCTAACAGAGTTAAATGGGAAACATTTTCTGAACTGTACAGCAACATACCCCACCTGTTTTGTTTTGGCTCTGTAAATGTGGAGGATTCTTGAAGTATCTACCACCAAATGAGAGCTTGGGTCTTGACAAGCTATTGATTAGGTGACAAAACACTAATAACAACACCTATGTGACTTGTGCTGCCAATGGCAAATATAAAAGTTGAGAAACCGGCTTGTTAACAGTGACAGAATCAAAAAGTCTGAGGGAAGATGTCCAGTTTTTACAGGTTGCTCAAGAAAAGTTCTCTGTGTATGGGAATTTGGGAACCAAATCCAAGGACAGTCAGTTAAAAGATGGACAGTAGTGCTCATTGTCAGGAGCCACAAGTTTTGCTCCACGGGAAATTCCTGTGTCTTTTAAAGCTTGTCTATGACAGCAAAACATTCTGCTGGAAGAAACGCCTGAGCAATCCCAATTGGACTTTTTTCTTTTTAAATTATTCTTTCTCCTGAAGTTTAGTCCGTAGCATTTACCCTGAGAGTGGGATACTGGTTGGAATTGAGAAATGAATGGGTTCATCTAGCAGGGCCAACCCTTTTGCCAGTTGTGGAAGTGAACTGTGAGCAGAATGAGCTTTTCCTGTAAGTGGAGAGGGCCAGAGGAGGATAACAGTGATGTTCACAAGTATGAAGTGGCCTCTGCTTGTGGTGAGAACAGAGTGGGACTGTATGGCTCAAGGCACCCATAAAGTAGCTTGGAGAAGGCTAACCAGGAGCTATTTTTGCAGTGCAAGTAGTGTGGGGTAATTTCGTGTATGACTGTAGCAAACAAAGTACTTCTTACATACTGGGTTTACATGTAACTTGTGGAATGACAAGGTGCTAGAGATATGAGTGGTTTTAAAGAAAAGACCAGATTTAGAGACAACAGCCAAATCCTGCCTCCGTATCATAAGTACTTCTGTCTCGTGCAGTCTCGTTAGGGATATGTCAGATATGATTATTATGGCAGCAGCAAAGGGACCTTAATAAAGTAAGTAGCTCTTAGAAGAAAACATGATTGGATGCTTTTCTCTCTATTTAATTCCTTGTTACACAAGTTGAGCTGAGCACACGGGTCTGCTCACTGTCGTAAAGCAGAGCTGCTGCAACCAAGTTAAAGCAGGTACTTGCAAGAGCTTTAGATGGTAGGTACACACATGTAGATGTGTACAATAACCTTTTACAGGGCACGTGGCATTGTTTTCCTGTTAAAATTGGATGTGAATTAAAAGTTAATATGCAGTTATTAGCTTTAATAGACTAGCCACAAGAAAGTAACAATGTGATGAGGGGGAAGACCATCAGACTGATTGAATAGGGAGCATTTGCTGGAACTTGGCAGGGGAGGGGAAGAATTTATGACCTTTGGAAGATGGGGCAGACAACTCAGAAAGGGTACAAGGGTGTCATTAGGTCATGGAGAGAGAAAATTAGAAAGGTGAAAGCTCAGCTAGAACTCAATCTTGCCACTGTGAAACATAATAAAAAGTGTTTTTATAAATACGTTAACAACAAAAGGAGGGCCAAGGAAAATCTCCATCCTTTATTGGATGTGGAGGGGAACACTGTAATCAAGGATGAGGAAAATACTGAGGTACTTGATGCCTTCTTTGCCTCAGTCCTCAAAGGAAAGACTGGTTATCCCCAGGGCAGCCGCCCCCTGAGCTGGTAGAGAGGGATGAGGAGCAGAACAGACCCCCTGCAATCCAGGAGGAACCATTTAGTGAGCTTCTGTGCCACTTAGACACTCACAGGTCTACATGACCAGAAGGGATTCATCCAAGGGTACTGAGGGAACCGGTGGAAGAACTCACCAAACTACTACCACCGCAGGAAAGATACTGAAGTGCTGGAGCATGTACAGAGAAGGGCAACAGAACTGGGAAAGGGTCTAGAGGGTAAGTCCTATGATGAGCAGCTGAGGGAGTTGGGGTTGATTAATCTGGAGAAAAGGAGGCTCAGGTGAGCCCTTATTGCTCTCTACAACTACCTGAAAGGTAGTTCCATCCCTGGAAGTGTTCAAGAAATGACTGGACAGGGCACTTATTGCTATGGTTTAGTTGGCATGATGGTGTTTGGTTAATGGGTGGACCTGATGATCTTGGAGGTCTTTTCCAACCTTAATGATTCTATGAAATACATTTATCCATAAAATGTGATACCCCAATTTTGGGAAGTGCTTAAATGCACCCTTAATTATATTTTCCTGGTTTGAGTGGTTAGAGGGTTGAACTTCCTGGCTCTGTCTATCTTAGAGAAGTATAAAAACATGAAGTCTTAATGCTTCCTTACTAAATATTCAGAGTGCAGATGGGCATTGCTTTGGTAACACCTGTGAATAGAGCTATTCTGGTACATTTTAAAAGTGTTACTGGCATGAGTGACAGCCATCAATGTATGCATATTATTTCAGAATCGTACTGATGGCAGGAGCTCTCTTGCAACTGTTTACTTATAGTCCCATACCATTTAAATTTTTTTTCTCAGTTTCAGGAAGAAAGGATTACGTGATTTTATTGCTAAAACAACTACTGCTTCTAACTGTGATGGAATGTAATTGTATAGTCTAAATATCAGGAAAGTGTTGATCCCTGCACTCAAGGAGTACAAGATGTGTATAGTTTGTTGTAATTTATTTTGCTGGTTCTATCAAGAAATTCTGCATTACGCTGCTCACAGGGTTTTAGAGAAGTTAGTCCTACAAGGAAGCCAAATGACTTTTTGCTTTCTTCTCAAGGAACACTTGCTCTCAGTCCCCAGGCAAGCTCTGTGTGCGTAACACTACACAGGGTGAGCTGTGTGACGGTGTGGAAGTGTCTTTCCTGAGAAGGGGCTCATGTCATTGTTTGTGGCAGTGTGCTTAAGGAGGCAGCAAGAGCAAACCAGAGAAAACATGCTCCTATTCCTTCCTGCAGTCCTGCAATTTGTGGTTTCAGAGTCCTACTCAACTATGTGTGAGCACATTAGTTACAGCTTTGACCCTCCCAACTGGCTTCCTGTTAAATCTGCTAAAAAAACAACTTCTTCGGTCTGGCGTGTGAATGAACATTCCAGTCTTAAATAACAGGGAGAGAATCAAGAATGTATTTGATGTTTTTTTGACCAGCCAGAAAGCGAGGCCTATTTTTGGTTTTGGTCACTTTAGGCTGTGCTGGAAACATTGGCATGAAGGTCTAGGGGCTCAGTGAGAGAGCATTTTTCTCTTTATTTAAATAGGCACCTTCCCAGAAGAGTAACAATCCAAAGTTTACACTTCCCAGTGAAATGCTGCCTGAGAAGTGCTGGATATAAAAAGATATGTGATAGAAAGTAGAGGTCTGAAAAGTAAAGTTGAGCAGAACCAAATGCAAACAGCAGAGGATACTACAGAAACTTGAAGTCTTTTTTCATTAGCTGGGGGTTTTGCATTTTTTTTCTAGAGTTGTGCCATATGTTGTATTTTAATCATGGTTAACTGGAAGGGAAATGAAACAATTGAAAAAAACCAAACCAACAAAACAAAACAAAGCCACCTTCTAGCATGGAAAGCCCTCTCCCATTTTAAAGTAGGGAAATAGGCTGCAGGGGCTTCCACAGGCCACAAAAAAGGTACCAGACTATCACTTTGTGCTCTTCTGCTGTGAAATTCTTGGTTTTTTTTTTTATTTAGGGGGGGAGGGTTGTTTTCCTTTTTTTTTTTTTTAATTTAATGAAACATTTCCAGTTGGTCTGTCCCCATCCCCCCCTCCCTATGCTACTGCTCAGCTCCAGCTCCAAGTTACCCTTTTTTTTTCTTTTTTTTTTCTTTTTTTTTTCTATTTTAAAATGGTCAGTCATACGTGTAAATCTGCCAGGTTGGTCAAAGACAGCTTTTGTGCACATGTGGAAGCCCAGCAGCTGCATTTCTGATGTTATTGCCTGGTATCTGCAACTGGATGGCTTCTTAGGATACATAGTGTTATATTCCCAAGGGCTGTGCAAGGAGCCCAACAGCCAAGCAGAATTCTGGTCTTTGGTTCAGGTGTAACCTGTTAACCCAGCCTGGGACTGCCAAGACACGCGTACCCTCTGATGATGGCCCGATGCCAGCAATGCCCTACTGGTGCACTCATCCAGGGAAACAGAGAGCAGGCTGCTCCCTGCAACCCCTCACTGGGATTTTAGGGCCAACATTTTTAAAAGCATTTAGTGGATTTGCATTTGGTCAACACAAGTCACCTTGAAGACCTTTTGCGGGGCATGGGACACTAAACCCAACCCCCATCCCTTTTCGAGGAGCTCCTGCTGGACGCTCAGGCCTTGGCTGCCACATGTTCAAGGTAAGCTGTCACTTCAGGGATTTTTTAAGTGCCTCTCTGGGCATTACTAAAACTTTGCTGCAAAAGACAGTACCTTTTCCCTTGCAGACGACTTGAGTGGCTCTGTGATGACATACCCATTGCTGCAGCTCCACAGACACCATAGAGGCTGGCAGACCTCCGGCTAGGAGTGATTGCACTGGTGTTTTATTAGCTCTCAGAAAATATAAAGCAGGGAAGAGGCCGAGCAGGCTCCTGCACCGTCTGCCTGAGCTCTGACCCTTCGGGCAAGAGGCAAGATTGCTTTTACAGCCAGTACTTAACCTTGCTACTGAGACTTGTCAACAAGGAGGCCAATTAGCAGGAGATATGATGGTGGGTGATATAAGGGAGATGTCTGTCTGTTAGGAACATAACTGATATACTTTTAACACAACATGTATCTTAAGACATGGTTCTGCATAAATGATGCCATCCCCTCTACTGCAGAAAATCCCTCTCTACAGTGAAGTGTTACAGAAAATTGCGGGTTTGTTGTTTTGGGGTTTTTTTCCCCCGAAGTCTCTGGGCTTATGATGACTATGGCACATACACAATTGTAAGAAATAATTCTGCTTGAAAAACATGTCAATTTTAAGTTAATTATTTTTTAACAATATATGTGACACACTAAAAATGTACGTAGATTCAGAACGAAAACAGGGCACTTCTTGTCTTCCTGAAAGGGTCAGTGCCACCTGAGATGTTTTCTGTAATCACATATGTATATTGGTATATGTATCAGAAAAGACAGACTAGGGAAACTTGAGTTAATTGATTAAAATCATGTAGGTCTATAAGCATGGTATAGCCACCTACTGCAAAGGACGGTGGCTCTTTATGCCATATCAGCATGTGACACTAGTACCCCTATTTGGGTGCATGTAGGGGTTTTCTGTCAGATTATGAAGCTGGAGAGGCTGATTGCAGGTAGATGGTTTATATTTTGGCTGAGATTGGGCCTGAGCTTTTAAGCAAAAGTTTATTATAAGACTCAAGGACTGGAGCTACAAGACGACTTGCACTTAACCGATAGCTGACTACTTAGGCAGTCAGATAATTCAGCCCCCTTCCAGCTTATTTTAAGTAATTCTGCTGTCTGGTTTTGGTGATTTAGGACTTAATTAAACAATTAAGCCATTTCTTCATAGAATCACAGAATGGTTTGGGTTGGAAGGGACCTTAAAGATCCAATTCCAACCCCACTGGCATGGGCAGGGACACCTTCCAGTAGACCAGTTTGCTCAGAGCCCCATCCAGTTTAGCCTTGAATACTTCCAAGGATGGGGCATCCACACCTGTTCTGGGCGTGATTGTCTTTTAATTGCTAGGATAACTATGTCTAGTGCAAAACAACTCCACATAGAGTATCGCTGTATATTTTCTATTACAGATACAGTCTGAGAGGAGAGAGAGGGGCCACCTCTGGTTGCACATGACTTCCCAACCCAATGTCAAAGCTTTTCCTTCACTACACAGTCTCTAGCAAAAGAGGAGCAGTGGATTTCAACATCCAAGCTGTTAACAGCACCATTTACAAGGTACTGATAGAGGCCCTATATGTTAGTATCCACACCCCAGTAGAGAGAACCATTTTTCAGTTGCTTAGACCTTAACTCTGCCCTAACTGAGGGCAAGGGCAATCCACATGTATTTAATGTTCACATTAATTTATCTGAGGATAATTTTAATCTAATGAATACCTAGATTACTTTTTTTCCTTGGTTAGTATTTAAATAGTCCAACTTCCTTTTAGGAAGTTGAGCATCTTTTTTTTGTTCAGGGGAGTGAATATACCTTTGCTTCTTGGAGATTTGTCTGCTTTCAGGGTTTCCTTCTTTAGTGTCCTCTGTGCATTTTAATTATTTCATTAATCTTTGGTAAAGAAATAAGCTTTTCTAAGCTGCTGATGAGTACATGATGTTTTTACAATTAAAAAAATAGATTTTTCACTACAATTTTTTAGTGCACCATGTTCTGTTATTCACTGCGTAGCTCATCTTTAAGGAAGGAGTTTTCCTGATTTCATTCGGGCCACTCGCAAACAAGGCCAGGTTCACTGAATTACTGCTGAAGGATCTGATTTTTATGAACTGCATGTCTGATTAGAGTGCTCAGCAGAGGCATTATCCCCTTTGCAGAATTGACCTGGAAGGCTGGAACAAGGACAGAGCCCAGAAGTTGAACTCCCGTAGCCATCCTAGGACTATTTGCTGTATTTCTTCATCAGTAGTAGTAATCAATGTTTCAATTTTAATCATGGATAACATCTTCTCTTTTCTCTTCATATCGTCTTATCTCGTTGGAGAATCCTTTCTCCCTGCCTCCAAATATATTTAAGGTGGAAAAAAAAGGAAAGGAAGGAAAACCAAAAAGAAACAAGAATATAGCCAACCTTTTTAATTAGAGTATATTGTACTTCCAAACTGAATACACTAGAAATTGGCAATGCAACATAAAATGCAAAGAAATATACCAGTTACTGTCAAAATGACCCTGTACAGCCTTATAATGCAAAAAGCTTTATACAATACAAATTTTTATTAATGTACACAAACCTTGACAGAATGATACTTCAACATAATACAACAAGTTAAAAAAAAAAAAAGAAGAAAGGAAAAAGTGCTGAGAACTTTAACTGAATTACTGAATGGAAAAACACGCTAGCTCTCATTAAAGAATGCATAGTGAAAACCAGTATGAAATTACCTTTATGGTGGGGGGAATTTATCAGAACTGTTGGTCATTAATCAATAGGGGGAACCTCTGGAGAACATTTCTTTCTTTAGCCTTGAACTGCAAACAAATTATTTTAATATGCATGAGCTCTGATAAATAGTGTATTTTTTTAATTAAAAAAATAAAAACCTCCTAACACACTTTTCCTTACAAAGAAAATTTCTATAACTTGCCAGAAAGAATTAATTTATCTTTTCCAAAGTGCTAAACAAATTTCCCAGGTACACTAAACATTACCATGTCAGATACTGGTACAGTGGAACATTGGTGAGCATGTGGCGGTCACACGCTGACAGCTCATTCTTGGAATTTCCAGCCCTATTTAAACTGCCTTTTGGTTTATATAAAGTGTCCTACTAATATTCCTGGCAGCCCCTGGTGGTCTAGTGGTAAAGACGCCGCGCTATCACCGCTGAGACCCGGGTTCGATTCCCAGTCAGGGCCACTCCCGGGCAGGTGGGGCTCGTTAGCCCTTAAAGGCAACCCACCTACGTCCTAAGGACCTCGCTGCCACCGTCCAAGCTCGCTTGGCCCCGGCAGATGAACCTTAGGATTAAAGGGTGGGCTCAGTTCCGCGCACACTGTGTCTCACCTAAAAAATCCAATGCGCAGGCTGGAAGGTGGAAAGACCTTCCCCGGATCTTCGATCGCGAAGACTGGCCATTATTATTACTAATATTCCTACTTCTTCCTCCTGGACAGCTGTACTCTACCTGTCAGTTTGACAAACAAGCTTTTTTGATTTGTGAGTGTTTGCTTTTCTGTGACACAGTCAGAGATACACGCATGGAGTGTGTTTTACAGAACTGGTATAGTTTCTGGATACAGATTGCAGATTTCATGCTGCAGAGATATTACACTTTTTATGCTTTGAGTATTTACTAATACAGTATTTTCTATTTTGTCTCTACTCCCAGGGAGGTGTTACCAGGAGTTATGATGGAGTAAAGCATGGTTGTCTACAAAGGTTTATACATACTTTGGAGCAGACGGGTTTTCTTTACTGTGTAGACAGAACCACCACATGCTTGTTAGAACCAAAGCTGGCCTGCTGGAATGTAAACAAAATGGTGAGACTTCTCTGTCCTGGAATTAATATTTCCAAATGATAACCTGCTATGATTTTAGGTATTTCTCCCTTGTAAATAGCTTCCAATATGTTAACGGGAGTGCACAGATTAGGGTGTCCTCCCCAAACAGGAAGAACTTGGTCATGATAGTGGAGAATGTTTGGCCATCTCAATACAAAACAGATGTAGGAATCTTGCAAATAGGTTAAATGATGCAAGTTTTGCATCCAAAAATATTTCTACACAAGCTTCATTTCAGAAATAATGAAGATTGAGTTATGTTTCTAGTTGTGCATATGGCTAAGAGCCCTTGTGGACAAGAAATGCCTTCCTGAACTGGGGTGTTGCTGCACTGCTGTCATGAACAAGGGGTTGTTGGATCCCCCCATCCCACAACAACCTGCAGGAGAAGTTCCTTCAGGACAGCACAAGGGTGGTTAGATAGCATGACAGATGTGACTCAGGGCACCTCCTACAGTGGTACAGCCAAGGGACAGCGAGGGGTCTCTGGCAAAAGCTAGGTCAGACATTTCAAATACCTGGTAAAAGGCAGCGAGATCCAAATCCACGAGACACCATGGAAAACAATAATGGAGTAAGAAGGCATTCCTGTACGTCATTTTGAAACGCTTCACATTTTATACCTCCAATTTTAATGCAGGGTGTTTTTAATCCCTATCTTTCTTCCGGCACATTATGTTGTTTAAGGAGCACAAATCAATTAACAGTCGGTTAGCTTCTCTTAAATTAAGATCACTCTTGGCATTTTGAGATTAACAAAGGTCACATGACCGATCTGCATTTGCTTTTTCCTGCAGTAAAGTGCTACATATAACATGCCATTTTAATGACGACAAGTAGGAGCATTAAATAAGTACAAAGTTAGCTTCCTAGCAGGGTACACTCTATCTGCCATTAACCAAAAGGAGTATAGTGTTAACTAATGACATGGAGGGTAGCAATAGGACTGTCAAATTTGCAAGTACAATTGAAATACTGAGGGTATAAAAGAGAACTGTATAGTTCCAAAAGCGTCTTTTTATAGCTTTATATTTCAAAGAAGTTACTGGTACCTTTTCAAAAAAACAGTCTTATTACCTTCAGCCCACAATTTGTTTTTTTCTTTTATTTTTTTGCAAGTGAGAAATAAACTAGTGCAAGACTAAAGCACTGTGCAAAACTGCCTTTTTTTTTTTTTTTAGTCTGAGTATTTATACCCAGAATTTATCCATACCCTTTTTAAAATCCCCTTGTTGGACTTCTTTTCCACCATAGAATTCTAGTTATACAAGTTGTTCCTGCAAACTAAAAGGTAACCACTGCATAATACAGTATATATATATATATATATATATATATATGATATTTATATGCCCTTTTAAAACAAAAGATGTATGCTATGGCCCAGATGCAGGTGCTTGTCACACCTGTGTAGCAGTTAAGAACTGGGCCTGCTGTGTGTGTGTATGTGTGTACATACTCATGGTTTTCGTTGCCATACTCTCATCCTGCAGTGCTGAAAGAAACTTTTTCCTCATCAGTTCTACCTCAAATCCTCAAACCTTGACAACTGAGTACAAGGCATCAAAGAACTAAAGGAAACTGCAAATAGCACTGAAATAATACACCGGTTCCCCCTCCCCCAACCCAAAAAATTGCTCCTTCCACAATGCTGCAGTTCAGGGGGAAACAGGGGGAAGGGATGGAGCGAGTGTGTGAAAAGGGGGAAAAGAATAATAATTAAATAAGCCAATCCAAGGGATGTGCAAAAGCAGTGTCATGGCACACTACAGGCAGACTCTCTTTTCACGCACCCGCACGCACACAAAGCCCAAAAAATAAAATGCATCAATATGTAATCTTACAAGTGCTGATTGCCATTAAGGACACTCTTTTTTTTTTTTTTTTCAGCTTAACAAGACAAAATAGTTTCTTAGATAAGAGTACTGGGAACATGCCTCTGAAGGTAGAAGTATGCAGCAGGTCACCTCTTGGAGATTTAATAAAGCAGCTTTCATGTCAATGCAATAAGTATACACACAGAGCCATTTGCTAAACCTTACTAATGATATAGTACAAGTGTTCATTACTTCTTCAGTCTACCTTTTGCAGCCATGTATACCTGCTGGGTTTGCTGGAGTATTTTTGGTACAGAATGCAACTGCCCTCAGACAGTTTCTGCCCTTTCTGTTAGTCCAAGGTAGGCAAGGAAGGAGTGTTTAGGTGAAGAGGTACCTCCTGGTGCAGTCTGAGGTCGGGGTGGATGGAATGTGAGATCATAGTGGTTTTTGGGAAAAAACATTGTTAAAGGAATAAGGTGGGCAAACTCTGAGTTCCAGTATTTATCAAAGCACAGGGAAGTGCCATTGACGGCCAAGGCTTTCACTGCCAAGTTTGGCTCTGCCCCACTGCCCTGTGCAGCTGACATAGCAACTGTTTGCAGAGCCTGGGAGGCAGACATAACTGAGAGGGGTGACAGAAGGTTTCTGGAGCTGTTCACCGGTAGGAGCGGACTGGCTTCCTTGGAGGTTGAATACTGGCCCTTCTTCTCCTCTTCGGAGCAGTCCCCGTTCTGGTGCTTCTTCACGTGGCGGCTGAAGACAAAAGGGTGGGTAGTCTTGAACAGGCACTCGTCACAGCTGAAAGTCTGGCGTGGAGCATGCTTCAGTTTCTTGTGCAAGTTGAGATTGTCTTTGCGTTTGCAGCTGTAGCTGCACTGGTCACAGTGAAAAGGGCGCTCGCCGGTGTGGACACGCATGTGCTCGATCAGCTTGTTGGCTGTCTTGGACAGGTACCCACACTGGTCACACTTGTAATGGTTGCCAAGGCGGTGTT